TTTAGGACTAAGACTGTAAGAATTGACAGTCTGTCACCTGACCTACAGATTTGGACTTGCCAGCCCCTCACAATCACATGACTAAATCAACCAATCTTTCTATAAATACACTGGTTCCATTTCTGTAGAAAACCCTAGATACTCCTTAAACTCCCTTTCCCATCTTAAAACACCACACATGGAGGAGTGGCCAGAGTTACTCTCAACACAATGACAATTAATTTATTGGTATTGTTTTATCTCTCTAACTTCATAGTATAAGTTTTATGGGTGAAGAAATGGCTTGTTCATTTTTTATCTCCTATAGTATGTCTTCCAGAATTGTTTTTAAGTGTTGTCAAGTAAGTTCTACCCACAGTGACCCCATATAGGGTTTGTAAGGAACAGCTGGTGAGCTTGAACTGCCAATCTTACAGATCAAACTGACTTTGCAACCCAGAACATTAACCCATCATACCAGGACTCCATCTTCCAGAATAGTCAGTATTCATGTGTATTCAATATACAAGAAATCCAAGATTTACAACTGGGCTGAGCAAAAAAATTCTAGTCAGGATAAAATCAAGTGCCACTTGGTATGATTCTTAAAACCAAAAAGAAAAAAGAACATAGTAAAGTACACAAAAATCTGAAACGAGGCTACATTTACACCCTAGCTGTGCCATTAACTTGATGTGAACCTCAAGAACGTTACTAACTTCCTGGAGCCTCAATTTCCTTATTGGTAAAATGGTGAGAATATCATTTACTTCAAAGGGTTGGTGTAAAAAATATTATTTGAGTCAACACATAAAAATACACTTAGAAAAAAGTCTGGCACATAGTAAGTACTCAATACTCCTTAGCTACAATGATGATTACTACTATTATTTTTCTCAAGAATCAATGTCTCCATTGGTAAATAGGGAATTTCAGATTGGATCTCTCAGCTCAAGTTACATCTTTCAACTCAAGGATTCCATGCCTAAATCCACAAAACACTGAAGATGTCTAAGATCACTATGAGCTGGACAAGTGTTAGTTAGTTTCATAAGGGAATTAGAACCTGGGCAAGACAGGGAAAATGTAAGTTGGGTAGAGAAGTGCAAAGGAAGAAGCCATTGTAGGGAGGAAGGACAGAACTAATAAAGGCTATGAAGAGGGAAGAAGCATAAGGAAGAATTTGTGGTTTGGATAGTGGTGGGCAATCAGATATGATCTAAATAACTTTAAAAATAGTTGACTAAAATCAACTGATTATATAAATCCCACTACTTTATCACTTGTGTTTTTAAGGTTTAAAGTTCTTCTAATGACAATTAACTTATATCTATTCTACTAGTCCTTTACATAACATAGTGTAGTATTTAAATATAGCCCATATACTTCAAATCTTCTCTTAGCAATTCAAGCTCACCAGCTGCTCCTCAGAAACCCTAACACAGGGTCGCTGTGTCCACAGACTCACCAACTGTGGATCAGAAATATTGGGGAGGTCGGGGAGAAGCAATTAAATGGTCAAAGCAATCCCTCTCAAAGACTAAGAGAGAGCCTGGAGTGCTATAGTTATACAACATTTGCATTGCATTCAGTATTACAGGTAACCTAGAGATGATTTCAAACCACAAATTCTTCCTTAAGTACCAGGCTTCTCTCTTAATAGCCTTTACTGGTTCTATCCTTCCTCCCTAAAATGGCTTCTTCCTTTGATGGGGAAGAGCCAACTCGATGGCACTTAACAACAAACAACAACTGTTGTTGTAGAGTCAGACTCACTGCAACCTATATACGCTTTCTGAGGAGTGGCTGATGGGTTTGAACTGTTGACCTTGCAGTTAACAGTCCAGTGCTTACCCTACTGAGACACCAATATCTGAAATCATCTCTAGGTAACTTATAATACTGAATACAATGCAAATGTTATGTCACTATAGCACTCCAGGCTCCTCTTAGTCTTTGAGAGTGATTGCTTTGACCACTTAATTGCCTCTCCCCCACCACCCCAATATTTCTGATCCACAGTTGGTGAGTCTGTGGACACAGAACCCATGAACACAGAGGGCTGGCTGTATAAGGTCAATTCTTAAATGACAATTTCATCCCTTTCTTCTAAAGTTAAACATAAGTAACTGCTTGGTTATTTTTACCTCAGAAGAAATCCTTTTCACTCTGTTGGCTTAAATAAACTAAGTTCTAAAAAAAATAAAAGAAACTAAGGTCTGAGTATGTTTGTGTTGTTAAGTGCCATCGAGTCAGTTTCAACTCATAGTGACCTTGTATAGGGTTTTCCAAGAAACAGATGTTAAATTTGAACCATCAATCTTGTGGTTCAAATTGACTTGTAGTCCAGCGCCACACCAGGACTAAGACCTGAGTATAAAAACATCAATTTGATAAAACTCTAATCTAAGCAATTGCATTTGTCTGTAAATTCTGCTAAATCATTACAATCTAAGTTAGATCTAAGGAGCTATGGTAGCGTAGTGGTTACAAATCAGGCTGCTAACCTCAAAGTCAGCAGTTCGAAACTACCAACTGTTTGTTCCGTGGAAGAAAGATGAGGCTTTCTGCTCCTGTAAAGATTTATAGCCTCTGAAACCCTGTACAGGGTCGCTGAGAGTCCAAACCAACTCCGTGGCACATAACAAGTCAGATCTGATCACTCCTTAAATCAAAGCCCCTCAATGGTCCTTTTATGTCTCAGAGTAAAAGAAAAAGCCTCAAAACAATTTAAAGTACCTGATTGTTCTGCCCTTCCCCTTCTTCCCTCACCTTATCTCCTAGTATTCTTTCCTTTGCTCCCACAGCTTCAAACGCATTGATCTCCTTACTGTTATTCCAACAGGCCAGGCATTGTCCTCTTCAAGGTCTTTGAGCTAGCTAGCTGTTCTCTCTGTCTGGAACATTCCTTTCCCAAATACTGGAATGGCTCATTCACTCCCTTACCTCCTCCCAGTCTTTGAACTTTTGAAGCCCCCTCATGCCAGCCTGTCTTGTGAGTGCTTCCCTGACCACTCTATTTCAAACTGACGTATCATTTCTCTAGCACCCTTTCCAACTTAATATATGTGAGGCATTAATCATTGCACTGGAGTCCGGGTGTGGCATTATGGATAATGTACTGGACTGCAAATTTGGTTTGAACCACAAGGTCAGCAGTTCAAGCTCACCAGCTGCTCCTCAGAAACCCTACCCAGGGTCGCTATGTATCAGAACCAACTTGACGACACTCAACAACAATCATTGCATTGGAGGCCTGGTGTGGCAATGTAGGATAAACATTTGATTGCTAACCATGAGGTTGATGGTTCAAACCCACCAGCTGTTCCTTGGAAACCCTATACAGGGTCAGTATGAGTCAGAACCAACTCAATGGCATTTAGCAACAACAATCATTGCATTAGACTGCTAACTACAAGGTTAGCACTTCAAACCTACCAGTTACTCTTTGGAAACCCTATACAGGGTCACTATGAGCTGGGGCCAATTGTAGGGCACTTACCAACAGCAACAAATCGTCATCTGGAGTGCTGATGTGGTACTGTACGATAAATACTGGACTGTTAACCATGAGGTCAGCAGTTCAAACCCACCAACCACTCTGCAGAAGAAGATGAGGCTTTCTGCTCCTATAAAGATTTACAGCCTCAGAAACCTTTGTAAGGGGTCAGAATCCACTTAATGGCAGTGGATTGGGTTTTAATAATCATCTGCTACAGTATATCTTTTTTTAATATATTTTTTTAATGTCTCTTTTCTCCACTTGTTATGGAGTGGGTTCCAACTCATAGTGACCCCGCAGTAGGATTTTCGAGGCTGTAAATCTTTACCGAAGCAGAAAGCCTCATCTTTCTCCCGCAGAACAGCTGGCAGTTTCGAACTGTTGACCTTAAGGTTCGCAGCCCGCTTGCTGTTGTAAAGTGCCGTAGGTTGCGACTCATAGTGACCCTGTACAGGGTTTCCAAGGAGCAGCTTATGAGCTTGAAGCGCCAACCTTGCAGTTCAAACGGCTTTGCAGTCTGGCACATTAACTCACAGTGCCACACCAGGACTCCTGCTAGCACTGTTAAATTTCATGAGGGCAGGGATCACAGCCCCAAGAAACAGTAATCATCAATTAAAAGTTACTAAATAAATGAATTCTAGACTACACTACACAACGCCCCTTTTAGCTAAAGAAAAACACAGCATGCATTTTTCTTCCTATTACTGAGAGTGTAAAAATTAATTTTTGTACAAAACACTGCTCACTTATGTGCCAGAACTAGGCTTGGCTCTGGAAAGTTAAAATGAACTAAGACACATATTAAAATTAAAAGACACAGATAAAAGCCTGTCATTTACAATAAGGAACACACAAAGAAGCCAGGGGAAATTGGCTGACAGACTAAAACAGTTGGGGCAAAGGAGCAAATACTTCACTACGGCGATTAAGGAGGCTAGGATCCCTCCAATTGCCAACTAGTGCGATCGATTTCCTTGATATTATTGGCCCATACGCTTTCAACTCCATATAAACTACTTACACCACATCTAAGTAGGTCCGCAAAAAAGTTTGAGATGATAGTGATGCTAATCCTTGGTCTACTCAAGGGATGCACAAAGACTATGTCTTTTACAACCTCCCGATTTGGCAACCTAAGGGCTTATCGGGTCACCTCGATTCGGAGGCTTGCTTCTCCCAAATTCTGCCTACCTTGGTCAGAATCCTCCCCGTGAATATCCCTTCCCTAACCAGGCAGAGTAGCCTCTGAAAAGCCACCAACTGGGCCTCGGTAAGAGTTTCGAGAGAAGCAAGAACCGTGAGAGGGGCTGCCGGGAGACAAGGTTCGAAAGGATCCCTCAAGGCCTCAGCCCCGCACCCCCATTCCTCCCTAGCCACTCAGGCCGCCTTTGCCTGAAGGTTCCGCTGACTCTTTGTTAAGCGAGGCCGCGGATTCCTGGCCCTAGCTAGGCCCCACAGTTGTCTCCAGTGCCCCCAAGGGTTAGCTTCCCCGCGTTCAGACCCACCTCACACAAACCTGCTGCGTTAGCTGCAGCGGCAGCTAATACTACCGCCGACGCGGAATATACCCCACCTCCGAAGTACGCACGGTCCGGACCCCGTCCCGCCGCGCTCCTCCTCTCCGCCCCCTTTGCCGCCGCCGCCTTTCGGCCCGTTGCTGAACGGGGGGAGGGGAGCACGAACCTGACATGCGCAGAGGAGAGAGCGCGGCCGGAGGGCGGAGCCTAGAGGTTGGGGCTCGCTGAAAGGTGCGTGGGGTCCAGACCTTAGAACTCCAGGCCTTGCAGAGTCTTCAAGCCCTCAAATAGGAAGGAAACTGCTGCGGGGTGAGGAGTGTTCATGGCCCAGCTAGGAAACAGGCCTGGGAGTGAAGAAAGAGTGGCTGCGGACGGGGAGCGGCCCAGAAATTCCAAGAGAAAAGACTTGGGCAGAAATTGCATTTAAATAAAATCGTCGCTCTCCTAAATTCTTGTTCCTAGCAAAGATGACTGGAGCAACATTTCTCCGTTTGCCTCTGACCACGTGGTCCCTCAGAGCTTGAGTATCTTTAGCTTCCGGAGCACCAGGTCTGCGTGATGACTGAACCCTAGTGGCGAGGGCTGGGATCGTTGAAGGCAGTTCGGGTCCAGGGGTGGGCATTATGTAATTTTCCCAGCAATCCCATCTGGCCTCAGCTGGGGGCGGGGGATGGAAAGATCTCGCGCGTTCTCTGAGAATGCGTTCCGCCCCCTCGCCGTGCGCAGGCGCAGACGGACCGTACGCATTCTACGTAACGGATGGCGGAGACTACGTGAAGAGTTTCGCGGCGTAACTGAGCTGTCTGGTTTAGCTGTGTCCTAGAATCATCGGACAGGGGGTGTGGGCAATCACCGCGGCGACGGCGAAGGCGGTGGCCAGGCCGAGAGACAGGTGGGGTAGAGGTACCGGCCGCACAAACGCTGGGGAGGGTTTTGGCCTCTGGTACAGGTAGGGAATGGGCCACGACGCGTTAGTGGTGGGGCCGGGCCAGGCCGAGCGGTGACTCGTGAGAGTTGCGTGGCCTACCGCCCCGTTTGCAACCCTGGCCCCCTAACTCCGACCTGAGATGACACGCACCGGTCCCCGTGTCATCTCTCCCCTCCCCGACCTTCTTAACTATGATAATAATAAATCCCTTTACCCCAAGGCATAGTTTCTGTTGACCTGTCAAGGCTGGGGGTGATTTTAACGGTATTCGGGAACTTCCCCCCAAAGCTATGATCAAATACCAGTAAGTAGGACAAAGTTAGAGGAAACGTGCAGTGTGCAGCAGAAGTAACAAACTGTAACCATCCGAATGAATTAATAACCCCGTGGTGGAGAAACACTAAATATGAATGGTTAACAGAAGTAACTTTGGTGGCGAGCCTGGTCAGGTTTCTGACATAGACCTGCCCTTATCCAAGTATGTCTGTGTGACTTCCAGAAGTCTCTTATTCTGGCCATTGTCCAGTGGCAGCGAGGAATGAATGATTTTCCCACTTGTTTGACTGTGGTATTTAAATTCGGCCCGGAAGCCGAGAGACTAAGGAGTTCTGGTAGCGTAGGGGTTACGAGTCAGGCTGCCAACCTCAAGGTCAGCAGTTCGAAACTACCAGCGGTTCCGCGGGAGAAAGATAAGGCTTTCTGCTCCCGTAAAGATTTACAGCCTCGGAAACTCCGTGCAGGGTCATTATGGGTCAGAACCGACTCCGCAGTACTTAACAACAGCAACAAGCTTAGAGACTACTGAGTGAGTCTGCAGAGGAGAACCAAGCCAGACTTGTTAGAGCGAGTCCTCAGTCCTCTGCTGCCTGGCCCAGGAGTCCCAGGAGTCCCCGACTGGTGGGTGTCTCTGTGAGAAATGAATTGACAGGTGCAGTAGCGAGACTTCTGAGAAGGAAGCCCACACATGACTTGGATGATTGTAATCTAAATAACCTTGAAGGAACTCTGTTACAAGACTCAGTTACCTTCAGGAGTGCTTCCATGGTGTGAACATACGACTAAGTGGAAATTGAATTTGAAATAATGAGACCTGTGGCAGGCCATCCATTAATCAGACTTTAGTTGTTTCGATTTGTAAAAGCTTAAGACTGGAATCTGAAAAAACAAAATTAAATGATGTTTGTTGTTTTTTCAAGTCAGAAGCAACGGGAAAGAAGGAACAGGAACTAATATGTATATACTGAGTGTCTGCCTCTATATGTGCTAGGCACTGTATTAGGGTTTGGCGCATATCTCCTGTAATCCTCATTGTGGCCCTGTGAGGCAAGTGGTGCATGGAATCTTTTTTTTTTAATTATTATTTAAGTGTATGAGGAACAGGGACTTAAGTAATTGACCCAAGGTCATAGGACTGGTAAACAGTAGCTAGAGCTAGCATTTTAAAACCAGATTTAACATCACCAAACTATGTGCTTTTTTCCATATTTCTTCCACTTTTAACTAAATGTTAAAACATAAAAAATAAAAAATAAAAAAAAAGGAAAAAGCCTATAAACTTGTAAGAGAAAGTTAAGGGATTGGTTGTCTTTGGAACTGATGATAAGTGCTATCAAGTCAGTTCTGACTCATAGCAGCCCTGTTGAGGTTTTCCAAGGAGAGGCTGGTGGATTTGAACTGCTGACCTAGCAGGCCATTGCTTATTGTACAGCACCACATCAGGAGGATTCCTTGGAACTTATAGAAGCTGAAAATATCCACTCTAGAGTGTAGAAACATTCACTAATAAAAGATAATTAAAGGAAACTAGGAATGTTTTGAGATACATCACAAATCTCTGAGGTTGGTGTTAAAAAGACTGCCGTGCTTTGCCACAAAATGTTCCCTGGTGCTAACCTCAGACCAAATATAAGGAAAGGATGCTTTGTTAGCTATGACATTTCTCAAAACTGCTTGTGCCTTTCTAAACGGAAGAATTTGACCAATTCAAAGAATAGTGATTGAACTAATTCCTGTCAGAATTTACAGTGATATAATTGAGACTATTCCTGGTCTCAGAGCATCTTGAAAGAGTAGTACATACTTTTTATCACCATCTTACCTCCCTGCATTCTGACTTCATCCTTACTTCTCTAGAGTTGCTACTAATGATTTCCTTGTTAACACTTAGAAACTGTTGGTCCATATCTTTCTTCCAACTTTCTGCAGCTACTGAAACTGAGATAGATCTGCTTCCTTAGAAACTTGCTTCTCTTTTAACTTCTATGATGCTACTTTGACTGCAGTCTCTCTTTGTTTAAACTATTCCTTTTCAGTTTCTCACTTCCTTGTTTTTCTCTGCAATTCCTCCTTTTAAGTCTATCTCTTGGCTGTTCAGATTGTTTCAAGATTTATTTTATTTTATTTTTTACTCCTTTTTTGTTGTTTAACCTAATCTTTGACTCCTGGTTTGGCTCTGTAGGATCAGTACTGGACTGTGAACTAACCACAAGGTTGGCAGTCAAATCCATAAGCTGCTCTTTGGAAACTCTTGAGTCAACAGCACTTAACAATAAGAACAACACTTAATCTTAATGCTCACTGAGAGATCTTAACCATTTCCATACCATCTCTATTCCCCGCTCAGGCCTGTTTTCTGAACTCCAAACTTTAAAATTGAGTTTGAGGGCAAGTCAAAAAGAATTGCTACAAAATCTTTGACAGCTCTGTTAAACAAAAGTATCAGAATGTGAAACTGTTTCTCAACATCTAGACCTAGACGTTGAGAAACAGCTTCTGAATGTTGCTTGGTTCTTTTTATTTTAGAAGCAGCCCTTTCCCTCTCTGTTGACTTAAAGAAACTCAGACGTCAATGTAAGAATATCAGTTTGATAAAGCTAAAATATAAAGAACTGTACTCTTGTGAATCACTAACCTTTCCCCAAATAATTCTGTGCTCTTCAATTTATACCACATCAAAATAGCAGTTTTGACATCCTTGAGGGATTGAAACTGTTCCTTTTTAAATGTTCTTTGAATTTGGAGCACAAAAAGAAATCTTAAGGGGTAAGATCAGTGCAGTAGAGTGGATGGGGTGAGGGTTCCCAATGAAATTCTCCTAGGACAACACTTGTCACCCTCAAAGAGTGAGCAGGTACAATCTTGTGATGGGAAAAATGCCTCGGCACAAGTTTCCCGGTCTTTTTCTCACCAGTGCAGGTTTCAATTTTCTGAAAACTTCTAATAAGTCCCCGTGATCATCCTGTGCCTTTGAGAAAGTCTATCAAGTTACTCCTTTGAAATCCTAAAACACATTTGACATCACTTTTTGAGCTGATCTGTCTGCTTTGAATTTGGCCCAACAGATCCCCTCAGAAGCCACTTTTGATTGTACCTTTTTTTAAAGGTACCACACAAGACTTCTAACTCACAGCGATCCTATATAGGGATTTTTGAGGAGCAGCTGGTGGGTTTGAACTGCCAACCTGTAAGATGAGTCCAGTATTTATCTTACAACGCCACACCAGGACTCCTTTAACAAGATTAAGACGAGTATATTTCCATTCCACCCTTCTTCCCATCCCTTTTTAACTTTGTCCTTAGGTAAATGTTGCCCTTTTGATCTTGAATGGTTGACTATTCCATGGTGAGCACACCTTACTAGTGTTGTCCACTAGTTGGGCCACAAGAATGAGTTCCTTTCCAGACCTGAGAGACATAGACAGGTTCCTCCAGTCTCTTTCTGACCAGTAAGCCCAGTCTCTTTTGTAATATATAGTTTTGTGTTTTATTCCACATTGTCTCCCACTCTACTGGGAGCCTCTACTGTGATCCATTCAGAGAAGTTGGTAGTGGTAGACAGGCACCATCTAGTTCTTGTGGTCTCAGAATCATGGTGACTGATGTTCACATTGCTCCATTGATCAGATGACTCTAAATGTCTTCAGTCTTCATTACTTTTCTTTCTTCTGCACATGGAGAGACTTTAGATGGTTGCTCATGAACCTTTAAGATTCCAGTTGCCACTCACCAAAGCAGGGTATAGAACATGGTCTTTGTGGACTATGTGATGCCAAATGACCATGCTGTCCCCTGAGACTATCTGTGGTCCTGAGCCCCCAGACACAGCAATTCATTGCCTTAAAATGTTTGGTAATATTTTAGAGGTTCTTATCTTGTTCCCTGTATGCTCTACTCAACAACAAACAACAATGCTTTACGAC